GTCGAGTTAAAGTTTGTTTCCGGACATAAGATTATTCGTTTGCACTTTTTATCGAGATTTTATTTTTAACTTTACTTTTCGGCTAGAAGACGCGTGACGCTTGTATCTTATGAGGCAGAAGATCTCCGGACCTAAAATCTAAAAAGAGTTTCTCGTCTCTCGTTTCTCTCTCCGCACCATTACTACTATTTTATACTGGTGGATCCGCTGTTGCGGCCGGGTGGCCGCAGGGATGCTATCGCCATGCTTCTCTTGCTCGCTGCAATCTGCTATCTGAATTTCTTGCAACGCACAAGGTCGTGGTGGAGAACTAGACAGGTTGTTGAACGGACGCGAATACTGGGCAGGCTTTCCACGTAGGACAGGAACTTTCACGGGAGGAAGAGCGGTAGCAAACTTTAGCGACTCATCTGTCTACGGGGTGCAATCCGTCGTACATGGTACATACCTTGCTGTCTGCTTAAATTGCTGCTTCGTGTAGGAATGACTCGTCGTCGTGCGAAGCCACAACGCGAGCGTGTAAAGCAGTCGGAAATCGTATTAACGCTTCGCGTCGTAACTTACGCGTCTCACGTACGCCGCTGAGATATTGTTAAAGATTTTGCGGTTTCAAGTTATGTCTTCTTAATTAAACATCTTGTAAATAATCGATTTTAATGAACACGGCATTCTCGCGCGTTTAAGCGCGATTCTTGCGATTCAATTTTTCTAAAGCTCTTTGTATATCATTTTCTTTCATTATTATTACTTGGAAAACACCAGACCAGCATTTTTTCCAATAATTTGTGATATATTTAAGAATATGTGAAAATATATGAAAATATCTTCATTATATGTATGTATATACTCAAATACAAATGCACACAAACTCACCTCTTTGGCCATTAATAAATATGCAGTCATTTCAATTATTATAATATGATGATAAAATTATAAATTTTATCTTAACTAATATTAAGATGCGCGTCATTTAAATTTCCAAGTGGGAGAGCTTGTAAAATTCTCATCCAAAATTGATCAAAGTTAATAAGAAAACGCAATCTGTGTGTATATATATGTACTTTCTAAAAGTTTCAAACACTCGTTATCGAATTTAATCGAAAACTTGGATATTATCAGTCTTGGAGTAAATATTTTTGGTGCCGACGCCCGTCTGCTGCCCCTATTCTACGATCCCGGCGTTGGCGTTCTTTCAACTCTTCGTTCTTGTTTAACCATGTCACGCGCAACAGATTCGCGCTTTCGAACAAGTTCAAAGCTTTCCCGGGTTTCGCATTGCCGCGAAGCGTGTGGCTTTTGTACGTGTATCGCGTGTTACGACGCGACATTCCATGAGCGACAGGGAGCGACACAACTGATATCGCAGATATTTACTTACATCGAAGACGACGCGAACAACGTAGAAAATGGAATCGCGACTGCTATTGCAAGCGACTTGCTGAAAATCTTTGAGCTACACGCGCTTGTAAGAAACCGTTTGTGATGGCCATCTCTTTGAATCGAGTATGTTGTAAAATACCGCGAAATAAAAAACATGTATATAATAATGTATTTTATTCGCTTTATTTGCAGATTATTATTGACTAAATCACGCAAGACTCCTTAATTCTATACGTATTTATATAGTTTTTATTCCGGTGTGTCCTCTTCATTTAACTGGTTACACTGACGTTACTGTTCGCTGTATTTGCTCAAATTTTGATATCGAGTCTAATCTTTTTTGCTCGCTAAAACTGATTTTTCTATTGAAATGCGGTCATTTTTGAAAACGCATTTTTCCTCATTTCACACGTCGTGTGATTATTTTCCACTTTGTCCGACACAATGCTCCACATGTTGACGAGAAGTCTAGCTCCATCTAACACTTTTGTACATATAAAGACGACGCGCGAGTCACATAGGGGCATTGTTTCTGACAAGGCAGGTTGCACAATGTGTCAACGAAAACAATTTCTTCCGACTACGCGATGCAATATGTGTAACCCTGAAAGTTGATGCACTAAAGACAGCAGTCTGGAGTGATTTCTTGACGTTTTCTTGTCAGACGTGTGAGTTATTGTGTATTTGGGAATGCCGCGGATATCTTCTTCGGAATCCAGTCTCTTTATATATTTCATAGAGGCGTAAATATTATTCGTCCTATTCGATCTCGCTCATTTTTAACACTTAATTGATAGATATCATATGATATGTTATTTATTGCATTCCATCATTTATGTAAAAATGACAGTCACAAAAAGGCTCCTTTTAAGGAATTTCTTTTTTACATTAAAATAAAAGAAAACGATCTGGCAGACTCCATGATAATAATTAAAAGGAAAATAAGATAATATTTATAGTTAAAAGTTAAACTGCTTTACGTTTTATTTTAAATTTATTTGCAAGATTGTACAAAATCTGAGGCATTTTTTTTTTTAAAGCGATGTATTTTTTTATTTTATGCATAATGATTACAGAAAGTAAATAAAATTAAGACAGCGCATTCGTTAGGTGTCGCATACGTCTTCAAAGCGTCTTCGTTAAATTTTAATCAATGATAGCTACGTGTGATTGGACCGGAAGCTTTCAAAAGGTCAAAATGAGACCATC